TTTGAAAATAGAGAAAATATAATATTTTTGATGTAATACTCGAATGGATAGTATATTTCTAAAATCAAAAATTCAAAAATTGAATTTACCGATCCAAAATCATTTTATCAATTTCTCTCGTTTTCTCGATGAAAACATTTTTCGTGTAAAAAAGCATAGATCTTTTTGGTGAATAACCAAAAAAAACAAAAATTAAAAAGTTAGAAAAAATGGAGAATGTGACAAATTGTATACCATTGGATTTGGAGTTTTGAGTTAGTTTTTAAATTATAATTTTTTGTGGTATTTTTGGCAAATTCTCTCAAAAAGAATCATCTTTCTTTCTTTTTTTTGAAACTTCATCTTTTTTTTTTGTTTAAACTAAAACTTCATCTTTCTTACTAGGAAAAGAAAACAAAAAAAAAATCAATTTTCTTAAAGATAAACGTTGAATCGTTGACATAATATTATCCACAACTTTTCAAATTCTGCCGATGAAAACCGCCGGAGCGCCGCCGCATAGAGGTGGCCCCTCCTCCTCCGCCGCATACTTTTACCGGTCTTCATCATCTTCTTCTTCCGATAGCTGTAGAGTTCTCGTAGTGAAGATGGGAGGAGGAAAAAGCAAGAGGCCTCAATCCAATAAGGTCTACTCGTGATACACATTTGTGTAAAGGTTTCGTCTTTGAGACCCAAAAGTCTCTTTAATTCCAATAAAACTGAGAACTTGCAAGAGAAATTTAATGGATTCTGAGATTCTTAAATCAGTTACTTAGTTTGTGATCAATTTGGTCCCTTTTCAAGATTAAAGTTCATAGATTTGTATGAATTCTGAAATTCTCATTCTTTTTATTCTTACTTTTTATGATCAATTTGGTTCCTTTTTAGATCTCTAGTATCAGACTGATGGATATGATGAATGTCCATTGAGCATTTTGTAACCATTGATTTGATCGTAGCAGGATTCAGAGCCAGAACCACCGAGAATCAAATCGAATGTGAAGCATAACTTGCAGCTTCTCAAGTTATGGAAGGCATGTACTAGTCTTATCTTTTGTTTCATTACCGATTGTGCTAATTGAATGTGTCTAATCCTTGGAATGTTTGTGTTATGTGTAGGAGTTTCAGAACAGAGGATCTGGTACAGCTAAGCCAGCAACTAGTTACAGGAAGAAGAAAGTAGATAAAGAAGAGTTACCGGATGATACCGAGCTCTACCGTGATCCTACAACTACACTTTACTAGTAATTACACTGTTTGATAGCTTCTCTTCTTTATGTTGTTTCAAGAACGGTATTTTGAGGTTTGAAAGTTTAAGAGAATGTTTGTGTTTTTCCCTGAAAGCGGTTTTACAGCACGAATCAAGGTCTGTTGGATGATGCAGTTCCTGTTTTGCTTGTTGATGGTTATAATGTGTGTGGATATTGGATAAAGCTAAAGAAACATTTCATGAAGGGTAGGCTTGACGTTGCTCGCCAGAAGTTAGTTGATGAACTTGTGTCCTTCAGTATGGTTAAAGGTACAAACTTTCAAAGAATCTACAATTTATTTCATCCATCGATGGTACCGATATGAAATTTTTGGTGTAGAGGTTAAGGTAGTGGTTGTGTTTGACGCGCTCATGTCTGGTCTCCCTACTCACAAGGAAGACTTTGCGGGGTGAGTTAAACCATTGTTTTTGACACCTTCCTTAACTTTAAAACTCTTAAAAGGGTTTCTCCTTTTGGCCAGTGTTGATGTGATCTTCTCAGGAGAAACTTGCGCTGACGCTTGGATTGAAAAGGAGGCAAGGAAAATGATCTCTTAACCCCAAAGACAGTTCAAATAGATGGGGTTTCTAGAATCATCGTCGATGTTTCTTAGTTTGTGATAAGACTATTGATATTGATAGGTGGCTGCATTGAGAGAAGATGGATGCCCAAAGGTTTGGGTTGTAACATCTGATGTATGTCAACAACAAGCAGCACATGGAGCGGTATTGCGCACCATATCGATGTTATATTGAACTCGTTATGCTCAGTATCTTTTTCTTGGTTAGTAATTCATTCTTGACAGGGAGCTTATGTTTGGAGTAGCAAGGCATTGGTTTCCGAGGTATGATCTGTAAAAGAAGTGCACTTTTCTGTTTTTCATTCACTTTTTATTTGATTTTGTGGGGAACATTATGTGTAGATCAAATCAATGCATAAGGAGGTTGAAAGAATGATGCAGGAAACAAGGTTACATTGGTTTTACGCGTTTTTTAGTTCCGCGATTAGAGGTAACCGGAAAAACTCTGAAAACTCTTTTGATTTCCACAGGTCAACATCGTTCCAAGGGAGATTGCTGAAACACAATCTTGATTCTGAAGTCGTTGATGCTCTTAAAGATCTAAGAGACAAATTATCAGAAAACGAAACAAAGAGATGACAAAGATCAATCCGGAATTATAACTAGACTTGGTCTCTCCATTAACTTCTGTCCCAAGTAAGCTAATATATGAGTTATGAAGCAGAGGATGGCAGGAAAATAGAGAGAGCTCAAAGACTATCTATTGTTGTGTCTTGTGTCTGATTTTTGTATAATTTATTCTATAGAATCGTTTTCTTTGGTCGGAAAATTGGTTATGAGGTGTACCGATAATTTGTGAAATCAAA